AAACGCGGAGTCACGTGGCGGCGTATCGCTCGTGAGAGCCGGCGCTTGGACGGTCGCGGATTGGCTCGTCGCCACCATGGTTCGCGCATACCATTGGCATGACGGCGAGCTCCATGAATGACCGGCACGTCATTCGCGTTACGATTTCACGTTCGACGGATGTACGTCGTCATCGCCGACCATTTTCGTCTCGTTAATCGCTGGCGAGTCAGTTTTCGTCAACGATTTTCGCCGGAAGATACATGACAGCGACGCCGACGAATCATCTGGCCCGCGCTCCCCTCCCCCCCTTTCCTTTTTCCTCTCTCCCCCTCCCCACGTGCGAAACGGCTCGATGTGTCATTGCACGATGACTATACCGGGCATGCCGGCGCTTTTTCCTCATCGTTCTCAGTGCACGCCGCGTATCCGTTTCCGCGAACACTTTCACGAGAGATCTTTCCTCGTGGCGCGCCATTCCGAAGCGTGGCAAAAGTCGTCCGAGAATCGTCGACGCCGTTGAAAACGTCAAGCGTGCGAAAACGCGTCCGATTTTCAATTTTACTTACGACACGACCGGTACATTTCCTTAAGTATTTTAGATCCGGTTGTTAATTGCGCGCGCCAAAGCAATCTCCACGCTTAGTCGTGACCATGGAGACGCAACGATCGTCGGGTAAAGCTCTCGTCTCGCGCTACGATATCTTCAATCTGCTTCTCCTCATTGCAACTTGAAGCGTTTGACGCGCTAGAGAGAAAGTGCGAAGAAAATATCAAAAATTTGGCGAATATCGAAGACAAGAGTGTATATTTTATATCGCCTGATATCGAGGAATGAATTCGCCGGAATTTTGCCGGGAAAACCGTTCCCGGGTTTCTCGCGAGTGTGCGGAACAGTCTGCGAAACGCGATGTCCCGCTAACTTTGAATCGAGTCGGCTAGTTATGTACGATACAGTTCCTGTCGATCTGTGTGGATGTGGAGAGGATGGTGATAAGCCTGGTATCGAGAACTCTGCGGTCTTTCGTTAAAAATAATCTCGCATCGCTATTATTATCTATGATCGTATACAGGATGATGATGCGAGATTTATATCAAAAGCTCCGGTCATTGATCGCCTCATCTTTTTTCCGTGGGAAAATTGCAATTTTTCCATAAAATCGTATATCCGTATCTCGCTTGCTTTGATTACAATATATTGATACTTGATTGAACGGGATTCGCGTGAAACTTGAATCGTTGAAAAGTAAAGAGAAGCCTGTGTCAATATACTGGGAAGTTTAATAGAGAAAAATATTTCGCAAAACTTAATCCTTTTTATTATATGCATATATAATTCTGTTCTCTTTGGGCTTATATGCGACGCAATTTCTAAACAAAGTCAACTATAGTTTACGTACATGTACACGCGAACGTTTTACCGAAAGCATGCAGAGTGCTGGAGGCGAGAAGCATACGTTTATCTTGAGAACAGCTACGATATTTTTGCATATTCCGCGAGACGGAAATTATTCAAGTGCGGTGTAGAAAGTGGCGCTCGCGAGCATCCGGGGAAACGCTCTTAAATCGAGATCGATTTCGCGCCAAATCGTTCGACAATGGAAAAGATCGTGGAATCGCCGAATGACGTTCACGAGAATTCGAAAAACTGGGGCGACACTATGGAGAGGATACAGCATTGGTATCCGGAAGGTATTTGTCTTGCTTAAATATACTTCGCGAAAGGGATAGATTTTTTTCTGAAAACAGGATATCTATTCCCTGAAAAAATACGAGGAACTGAAATTCTCAGAGATTTTTTTACTCTATCTGGAAAAATCAGGAAATTTTATGGAATTTTATTGAGACACGAGAAATTAAAGAAAAAAATTGCCTCTTTAATCATAAGCAATCGATAATAATTCATTGGTTTAAATTGTGAATTATATGTTTGAAATGTATTGTAAATATA